AAGGATATGCAGCAGGTTAATAAAAACACATGAAATTAAAAAAAAATATTACACTGCATGTATATAAAAGGACTGAGGAATTCACCTTTTAAGACGAATCTTAAAGAACTTGAGGAATCTCCCCTGTAAGAAGGGCATGTAAACAAAGATGTCACTAGACATAGTGTTTTAACCCTGATAGAGACTCATCCAAACGAGAATGGGGATTATTTTGCTAAGACATGGGGTAGCCAGACCCGCCAGGGAAGGTGACAAGCATGCTGAAGGGAGGAACATAGCAGCGCTCTGGAGAATGTGAAAACTGCTCCACGATATTTTGGGACAGCCCCTCCAACCTGCACGAAGAGGCTTGTTCAAAGCATGCTCAGAGAAGGCTGAGAAAACAAGACAACATTTGGCTTATCTAAACATTACTCCTATAAATAACAGATGCTGTATTCACACCACTGCATTTAAGCGTCTGAGCACATTAGGAAATGCTTCTTCTCTGGAATTTGAACAGGGGTCCTAACAGCATGGCATCACTGCCATTCAGGTGCATGAAGACAGCTCTCCTACAGCACTGCAACCATCTCCTGCCCAGCACTTTCACAGGTACGAGCTGGCGACCAGCTGCTGCTTAGTGATTTCTTCTGTTGCTTAGTATAGTATTTCAGAAGAGAGAAAGTAATTAAAGAGGATAGGGTAGAGGTCACATTAGCTATGGACACAGTAAAACTCTTCACAGACATAGCAACAAAAAAAATGCAGGTTACATTTCATGGAAAAAAGAACTTTCTGCTGTTGAAATGCAAAAATGAAATCTATTACACAGACACGCATACACACAAACACACAGGTACCTTTCTGTCCATCCACTAATGCTGGTCCTTCCTATACTGGCTGAGTATATACCTGAGAAACAACATTAGTGTTGAAATATTGCCCTTTAGAAAGCTTGAAAAATGGAGGTGAGCAGGGAGAGGGTGCTGAGAGAGAGCATAAAGCAGCTGCAGGCTCTCCTTTCCAGTTTCCTTCGCATCCCCCACAGCTCAGAACAAGGCCATACACCAGCGTGGACACAGCCTGCTCAGAACAAGACCAAAGGAATATCAGTTCACAGCTCTACAAAGCACACTAGTGTAAGTACAACTGGGTTTCAGATTTCAAACCTTGAATCTGAAGAAAGTTGTTGCATTTTCTATAAAGAGACTCCTGTACAAGTGCTATGGGACAGCTGCATTCACGTTCAATGACTCCAGCTAGACTACTTGCATCAGTGCTGGCTGCCTGTGGCTATTTGGTTTGATGGCAGAATCAAAAGGCGCTTTAACAACTTGCAGTTAACTTCTCAAAACATACATTAGGCACATGAACAAAAAAACAAGAGCTCAGAATAAATTAGCTTCTCAGCAGAAGAAAAGACACCTGGATTGCAGCATTTCACTGAGGTTCCAGAGAAGGCCGTACAGACACCTGCATGCTGGAAGGTAATTTTTTCAGTGGCTTCTCAGCAGACTGCTTGCCACTGCAAGGAGGACACTGGACTCCGGGATCTAGCTGGGAAGACTTGGACTTGCGACTGGAGAGCAGAGGATGTTTGCTGGGTGCGGCATCTTTTGGGACAAGTTTTTCTTTTGCACTAACGTTGGCATCGGTTTGAGAGGCTGGTGGGACAATACCTTTCTCCAATTTGTCCTCCAGCACGTTTTTACTGCCTGACTTGGAACTGCCGCTCGCTGTCTTTTTTGAGAGCATCGTTGTCTTTCCCAGGTCTGCTGACCTCCGGGTCTCCTTCTGCCGTAAGGCTGATTTAAAGAAAGACAATCCTTTCTCTTCTGACTTGCTGTCCCTCTTCAAACCAGAACGCACACCAACATTTGGAGACCGCAGGCTGGCCATAGAAGAACTCCGGACATGCTTGCTGTCTACTGCCCTGCTGTCACTCCTGGAGTGGCTTATCCGTGGAGAGCTCGTTCTTGAACTGCTGGTAACACTCGTTTTATCCGACCCCAGACTTATCTTAGACCCCTCTCTGCTGAGGCTTCGCTCTGAAGTCCGGCTCTTCCCAGAAGAGCCCTTAGTCAATGAGCCTGATGGGGTTTTCTTGGCAGCTGTGGAAGATGCAGAAGAACATGATTTCTGCTTCTGTTGAGCTGATGGGACAGCCACTTCAAGGGGCTTCACGCTATGGTCCTTTCTAGCCTGAGTAGGAGCAGGAGACCCATGTCGCCCACTGGCCCTAGAGGAGTCCGTCTTACTTCTAGACCGGGAAACTTTCTGGGAACTCTTTAATGGAGGAGAAGAGTGAGAGACTTTGGTCTCTTGGGTAGATAAGACTGTCCTCCCCTTCCTCAAACTTCTGTCTGGCTCAGAAACTCCCTTGGAGCTGTGAACCTTCTTAGGGGTGCCATCTGCCTTCTCTGCAGCCAGCCCTGTCCCACTGGGGGCTTTCACCTCCTTGACTGGAGAGCTATCCACAGAATCACTCTGATCAACATAGGCGATTTGATTGTTGTTATCAAAAGGATCCAAAGCAGGGTGATTCCTGTCTGGCTGTACAGAGCTTTTACCATAACCATCTGAAAGATCTGAGCTAGATGTCCTTACAACAGACTCTTCCCTGAATGCCCCTTCCATGACAGCCAAAGGAGCTCTGCGAGCTGTCCTGTGCTCTCGACGACTGCCATCACAGGGCTCCAAGTAGCTGCTAGAGAGATTCCTCAGGCTGCCAAAGCAAGAGGTGGAGACCTTATCATCAGCAGCCTCCCCAATCTTCTCCAGGGTGGAAGCAGAGGTATGTACAGGGGAATCTCCAGAGAAGCGGGATGGAGAGTTGGAGCGCAACTGCAGTTTTGCAGAGAGTGACCACGAGGGCCTGACACCGTTTTCACTCACTGCCAGTGGGCTGGTGACAGAAGATCTAGATGACAAGCTCTGACGCTGGACACTCCTGACAAAAGGACGAGTTGAAAATCCTCCTGCAGAGAAAGAAGCAACACCCTCAGTGTGAAAGCCAAGCCTGCAGTTGGTTTATCCCACCCATCCACAGACACTATTTCCCTAAGAGGGTCAGGCAGCCCACCTACACCACATTGTATGCCTATCTCTTCACGCCTGCTGCAGGCACAGCTTCTTGGGTAAAAGTTGAATAAGGAATTCAACAACTGTTATTTGCTGGTGGTCACCCAGAAGTAACTCTCTGAAGCTTGTAACTGAAAATCCAGATTTTCCTCTCATCTCTAAGCAGCAGGAGACCAAACACAGGTTTTGCACCTTGAAAGTCCTTGAAACCAGCAATGAGTTCACCAACTATGATTGTGCTCCCAGAAATACATTTTTCTGTATGAAAGAATATTTTCCCATACCATTCTGCAAAAGGCAAAGTAGGATTCCTACCTCTTTAGATAAAGCAAGCTATTTGTATTTACAAACACAAAGTACAACAATAAGCATTTTAGAACTGTGACTACCATGGCTAGATCTGACAGTTGTCACAACACAGCTGCAGGGACATCTCTCTACCCGCTTCAAAATGCTCAGACTGACCCCTGAAGCTCCATTTTCAAAAGTTACAAGGCACTAGGAGGAAGAGTTGGGAAAAGCAGGGAACTGAACAGTTGTTTGCACACACAAGTGAAATTGTGTATCTTCTCACCTCCCTGGGAGCAGTCATCTACAGCACAGCAAGCAATTAGTACCTATGCTAAGCTGTAGCAATGTCAGCCTCCCTGCGAAGGCAGTGTACTGAAACCCAGAAAAAACATAAACACAGAAAATTCTTGATTGAGGGGTTTCATTGTCAATTGACATTGACATTTCCTGTCTTTGAAAGGCTCCCGTAAGGTTCCTGACCTGCTCTTTTCCATCCTTGCACACCAGAGAAAAGCTCACCTGTGCCAGAACCTATCTGCTCCTACTGACACAGTGCCCGTCTTCACCAGCTGCTAGAGTAACTGTCCCTTGTAACTACGTATTTTGCACCTATTTTAGTAGGGGTCTTCTAAGAGAAAAGCTAGTGGCCCAGTATCCCCCACACACTGCAGTGTTGATACACACCATCATCTTCACTCCTTTCCCCAGTCAGTTCTACCGATTCCGAGAGCGAAGCCAGAGACGTGCGCCGCGATGATGCTGCTGAAGCAATGCTGGGCTGCTTGCTACCAGGAAGACGGCTGACCCAGTGCTCACAGAGCGAGGAACTTGTGGAGCCTACAAGGAATCAGGCACAGATATCAGGCCAGTAGCGTGCAGCTGCAGAACACATGAAACCTTGGAAAGCCACTGAAAGTCAGGTACGTACTGCACTGCACTGGCTTTGACAGACATCTGGAGTCTGGAGCCAGCCCACACAGCCCCAGCATCCAGACACTGCCAAGAGAACAAGTCTTTACTCTTATGAAATAGTTATGGTTGTAAGTGAAAAACAGAATTGCACTTGTCCCAGTATGCTGTGAACCAAAAGAATCAGTGCAACAGCACACAGGCAGAGGGCAGTCCTTGAGCTGCCACAAAAACACAGTGCCAATCCTTTCCTTTCCAAACGCAAGTCACCAAGCCTGTGTCTGCCCCCAGCTCACCCCGGATTCAACCAACACATTCAGCTGCTGGCTGCCTACCTGGGAACAACAGCACTGCTGGAAGGAATGAGCTAGTCACATTTTTATGTCATGGTTTTGAGATGGGCAGCTCCGAGCAGAATTACCCATGGCAGGGCAGGGGTTTCCTCCATCTCCACAGCCTCCTTGCTACGACTGGCCTTAACAGGAGGTGGGAGTCTCCCGTGGCCTCTGATGCGCAGCAGCAGACTGAGGCAAGCCTCACTAAGTTCTAGGACAGAAAGTGGGGACTTAGGCAGAGCTGGGCAGAAAATTCTTCAGAAGGATAAACTATCCATGAAAGATAAGGTATAATGACTCCTTGACAATGCCAGTGGGGCTCACCTGCCACAGAGCTGTTAGCAGACCATGATGGGATCGCTGTGCGTCTCTGATAGAAAAGAATATAAGCTGTCTGTTTGCAGACTTCATTTTCAGGAAGTTGCTGAACATCACTGTCATCAAAGCAGTACCACTGGCCATCAACCGAGTTTTTGCAATACGCTGAGAGAAAATACATTACTATTAGACTTTCCTCGCTTCTAGTACTCTCAGGTTTGCTGTATGATATAATGTGACCTTATCTGGTACGATGGATTCAGAGGAGAATGAAAGGAACAGATTTATTCATGCAACACATCCTCTTCCAGTCTGACTGGCAAGATGGAAGCCTGAGACCACCAGAATACAATAAACAGTTCACATTTCAGAATTTTCTTTGTCCAACATTACTGCTCCGAACAGAACGCCATTTGGGGTGGCTCCATTCACTTCATGTTCTGTTTTTTGTGGCAGTCTGCCTCCATCAGTGAATCTCCTGACTGAGCCTACCCAGGACAACACAGCCCAGAAACGTACATCAGAGGGCAAAAACAGACACACACATTTTCTGGGCTGCTGTGTGAAGTCATATAGATCCTAAGAACCACCAAGCAACTCCATCTGTGACTGCTCTGGGATCTGCTGGAACAAGCAAAGAGGAGTTCATAGAGGAAGGCTGTGCACATAGGCAATGAGCAAATACTTTCTATGTATAACAAGCCTCTTGCAACTACAGAAGTTCTGCATTGAGTGGCCAGGAGCATTTTTGAAATATGAAAGGACAGTCACGTTACCCTGAAGGGGAAAAAAAAAATAGCAGAGAAAGAAATGTACAGTAAGACATTTGGGGTCAACAGGCATTGTTCCATTCCTCAAAGTCATAAAAGTTATCCTTCCAGTATTACACAGCTGGCCCTTGTTAGTTGAGTTAGGTCCTTTCATCAAGAAAGATGAAGTTATAGACACTCAAGAGAAAACTATAACTGTTTTCTTTCTGAAAGGATCCAACATACATAATATTGCAGGATACTTGCCTGTATAGTGGCCCCCTTGCATGGTGCCATGATGATTGCAGACAGCATACAGGTCATAGATATAGTCCTCAGGATCCCTTCCAAGACCATAAGGTCTCCGCCAGGGTGACCAGTGAGATGGCAGACTCCAGCTGCTCTGACTGCGTTTAACAACATGAGGAGTCATGTCCAAGCCACTCAGGGGGAATTTAACCATGTTTTGAAGTTTCATCCTTCGGTCTCCTTCCTGTATAAACAGAGAATAGCATGAGCTGCAGTGGCAGCGAGGCCACCATGCTTGGGGAAAACAGAAACTCAGGAGAGGAATGCATAGGGCAGAACAAGCTGCTTCTGAAGAGCTGGTCTAGTCATGTCACTCCCTGGCTGAGCAGCAGTCCTCCAGCATCACTGCAGACACCCTTACCTGTCTAAACCTTTTGAGATGTATGATGAGAACATCAGGTAAGGTCCAGAGGCTCAGTGTGATGCTACCCTGCTGCAGCTGCTTGCAGTGTGGGCATCGCCATGCATCATCTGGGGCAAGCTACAAGGAAGAGGCATGAGTGGGTATTGGTTTTCAAATTCCAAGGCAGCTTTCACTGCGCCGCTGTTCCTCTGCTGCCCCAGGCCCAATGCAGACACTGACCCCTGCACCCCATCTACCTCCAGCATTTATCAAGCTCACTGGGAATGCGGGATTCGCAATGATGCTTTTCAAAATAATGACAAGCAGAGAGACGTGTGCCTCACACAGGAGGTACTTCCCACTGCAAGACAGAATTCAACTAGTGCTGCTGTGCAGACAAGCTATTTCCACCTTAGAAACACCAATCCCTTTCAAGGGGGGGAGAAAGAAAAACAAAGGCAAAAAGCAGGCAGGCTTGTTGGCCTGACTACAAGTATTCTCACAAGAAATCCAGCAGCAAAGAAAGAATCAGAAGAGAAGGACAACAGGTGTACTTTGAATTTCACCTCCGACACCTTCACTGCCCTCTGGGAGCCCTCCTCCTCCTTATGTCCCAATGGCAGAGCTGCAAACAGCAGAGATTTTCATTGTCCACCAAGGTGAATGTGTCTTTTCAAAGACACAAACACAACATGCACTTCTCTCTGCAGCCCAGTGCTCAGAAAACTCAGAAGCCAGAGAGCTACAAGCTGTAATACAACTTTTCCCTCACTTCTTTAAGAAGTGACAAAACAGGCTCCAAAATTGTTACAGCTCAATCACGGGTCCACAGACCATCCCTTTTTACAGCAGGTTAGAGACCTCTGGCAAAGAAATGGACTTATGTGTTCCAGGCAAGGGCCAGATCAGACCCATCTCTAGTCTGCCCTGAGGCACACCATCCTCCTGCCACTTCAACCTCCTCACACCACAAGCTGAGCTAGAGGAGGAGAGTGGCCATGCTTCTGGAGAACTGAGCTTGGTGGTCACTGCACTGCTGTTTCAGGGGTCCCACTCAGTGAGCGTTGCCTTGAGCCCACCCCAGCCCTGGTCAGGCTTGGAAACACACAACTGCTCCAAGGCAGAGCAGTAAATTCCCATGAAGAAGTCATGCTGTTCTAACTCTTTATAACGTATGCCAGAAAAAGACATTGCTATTTCACAGGGAGGAAACTGCAGAACTCATATCAACGTTTGGGGGACAAAAAACCCAAAAGCAGGATCTCCCACATCACTGCAGAGAAACTCTATTAGCAAGACTAGTAATCAGCGTCGTGCTACAAATGTATTCTCCTGTCTCAGCAAATCAGTGTTTGTAGAAAACAGCTACTCTGCTGAGTATGGGAGTTCATGCACCACATGGACCAGCCAGACCTTCCAAGTCTCAGCTGCTATACAGTCTTGTCCCTACCTGCTCCTCTTTGGTGTACAGTTGGAAACACTGAGATAAAGTGCAGGTCTGAGGTTGATGATGAAGCTCTCTCTGCTGGCGGACACTTTCAGAGTCTGGAATATACTCCTCTTCCGTATTCACAAACAAGCTGCATCAGGGAGACAATGCATTTACCAGCACAGCCACTTGCTCCCCACGCTGCTGAGGAGCCATCCTAAAGGTACAATCAGCAGCTCTTTCCTGTATTTGTCCCACTGCACATGAGCGAGAGCCGACTGGCAAGAGATCCTGCCAGGGCAATGCAACTGAACACAGGAGTAAACAGCTTCAGTGGGCACCCGCTACAGTTTCTCAGACAGAAAAAGCTACTGCCCACAAACTTTCTCACACTAATATGATTTGTGGGGGAAGGAGCCACAGGCAAGACACCTGCTCTGTAATGCAAAACCCCAGCTACAGAGAAGAGGACTCCAACTTGGAGGAAATCTAGTGTACCCAGCCCTGATCGGTCTCTGTGGTCAGAGCCTAGAGCACAGGGTAGAGTTTCTGAGGGGTGTCATGTTTGCTGAAGGGTGAACAATTCACACAAGCAAGCTGCAAGCATCGCTCAAGGTGAACATGCTTTAAGGCCTTCTACTTCATACTTACTAATCTTTAGTTTCTTTGTCCCATTCTACCACTAATTTCACATGAGCAGTTCCCCCGTGTCCACATGACTTCAATGACCTGGAGAGAGCAGCAGACAGAAGTTAGATTACCTTTCAATCTGAAGCCTATGTTATCTGTTACATGCATATAACTTCTCTCCACTAGCCCTTCATCCTTCCTCCTCTCCCACACAGCTCAAGTTTGCAAAGGAGTCAAAGGAATTAATACAACAAAGAACATATCAAAGCTGGCAAACTGCATTTACCTAAGTACATCAGTTCTGTAAATAAACATATACTTCTTTACAGAACAGGCATCTGCAAAAATTTCTAAACAATAACAGTCACTAAAGAAGAAAAAATGGGCAATACTTTCATTCTCTCCTCCATTTCCACAGAGGACAGACTCCGGATGGCATGACACACAACTTGGCAATCCTCACACAGCTTCTTGAGAACACTCAGTTGTTTCCCTGCTCCTCAAGCCCGTGAAGTCCATTCCACACATCCGCACCAAGACGGTCCCTTTCTGCATGGCTATACACTGAGTTCCCAGCTGACAAACACCTCTCCACTCCTGGGAACAAGGACCAACCCACCTTTCCACTGTTGGATGGCAGAGGGGTCGCTCCTCCTGAGGTAGCAAGTATGTTATGCCCACAACACTGACCACTCGCAAGCTGAATGGGCAAACCTGCAACAGACAGAGTAGAAGCCATCTCAGTGACTCAAACCCAGTTTACCTATGTGCAGACCTGCTCTCAGCACCAGCCAACGCGTACTTTTATCCTAGAACGTGTGTTTTACACGAAAACTTGTGTATCTGCTTTCTCAAATATGCCTACACCAAGCCACTAACAGCGGGAAGCTGGGGGTGCATGGGGAGCTGGGAGGGGACACAGCCGGGACAGCTGACCCAGACTGGCCAAAGAGATATTCCCTACCATACGACGTCATGCCCAGGACATAAACTGGAGTTGGCCGGGGGCGGAAATCACTGCTCGGGGACGGGCTGTCCATCGCCGGTTGGCGAGCAATTGCTGTATTGGGCGTCACTTGTTCTTGTACATTCCTTTGTTGGTATTATCATTGTTGTTTCCTTCTTTCTTTCTGTCCTCTTAACCCGTGTTTATCTCAACCCACGAGGTTTTTTTCCTAATTCTCTCCTCCACCCCACTGTGGGAGGGGGAGTGAGCGAGCGGCTACGTGGTGCTTAGCTGCTGGCTGAGGCTAAACCACGACAATGAGGTACAGTAACTGAGGCTTTGTACCCAACAACTCCTCTACAGCGACCAGAGAAGACACCCCTCTTCACCCCTCTGCTCTGAGGGAGTTCTCATCAGAAACATGCAGGCACTAAGCAAATATTTCAGCTTTTCCTTTAGGCAAACACCACCAACCAGTGGATTTCCAGTGCAGACAGCAGCACTAATCTCTCAAGTACTTCTTGGGGGCAAGGAAGGAAGTGAAGCATGCAATTTCTTCTCCTCATCACTGTAGTCTTACCTGTACCTTTCAGCAAATTTCAGACAAAAGCACCGAAGTGGTAGAATATCAGACTTGGACAGTATTGCACAAAGAAATATTGGGAAGCCATCGGTTCACTGTGTGCGGCACGTTTATTGCTCCAAGTAACTGGCTTCCCTTGTAGTTCATGTCACACAGAGCTGGAAGTCTCAAAACAGACGAACCATTTGCCTCACCTGCATGCAGGCTGCAGGCCGCAGGAAATACTGCATCTTCTCCAAAATTTCCTTCTGCAGAATATCCCAAGCAATTGTTTTTTCCAAATGCAACACAAAGGGCAAGCCAAACCTACAGGAAGGAGTAGCATTTGAGGGAGCAATTAAAAGATTATTCTGTTCAACAGCTGGATCCCCAAACTCTGACAATGCCACTCTTCTCCTCGCTTGGCACACTTTGTATGAAACTCCCCAGAAATAAGGCATTTCAAAACTTGTCTCCAGAGGAGATGTGCTTAACTCTGAGGAAATGGTGTTATGGCTGCCCATGCAGAGCGGGGCTTGCTCTTTGCTCAGGCGGCTTGCTTCAGGCTGCAGAGCTTTGCAACCTGGCTGGGATAACTTTCTGTGAAACAAACTTCAGCAGCTGAGAGAGTTCTCAGCCCGTGGTTAGTAGAAATGCCTTTGCCATGGTCATTTCTCACTTCTCCCCACCCCCTGTTTGCACTCCAATTAAAAATTTCCACACATCACAGGATCTGATCAGACGTGCTTGCTTCTGTCTGAAACCAGATACCTTTATAGAGAGGCGGTGTGTGGCCTTCCGACTGGTCTGCATTCACCACTTCCCAGTAACACTGGACTATGTGAAGTTCACCAAATTTAGGAATATTTTGCTGCATTCATTAATGTTACATTGATCAACCTAATGCAAGCTAGGAATGCAAGCTGTTGCTCCTTCACCTTATGTTCTCACTACGTGGTGAGTAAAACCCAGGTAAATTAAGGAAGCTGCTGGAAGAGTAACTCTAACTGGAAGCTGCCCCTCACCTTTTGCTCTGCTGTCCAGTGCACGCTCTGTTACACACCAGCAAGACAATCTTGTCACTTGCTGCTGGTTTAGTAGAGGACTGCTCCAGTTTTCCAGACTTCACTGTTCCTAAGGAGTGAGATATTGTTCGGGTGTGCTCAGTGCCACATTTCAAGTTATTCAGGTTATTGTTCACATGTATTCCTGAAAAATTAGGAGAAAGGAAACATTTCATTATGTCATTTGCCCTTAGTGCCCTGATGCCCCCTCCAGAAACCCTCCTTTGGCTGTAGAGGAGCAGGTGAATATGGAACCAAGACCATTTTTATTACTTGTATCAAGGCTTCAAAGAGCAACTACTTGTCATAGTCACTACTTCTTTACAGAAAGAAATTATACGCAAGTGCTCACCTACCTGATTTTTCACAGTAACCTGTACAAGTACTCATAGCTCTGCCCACAAGAAAAGCTAAAGTGACAGAAACCCTACTTGTTACTTCCAATAATAAAATTTGCCTTTGATTATGCTCCGTCTACCCAGGATGCAATTATTCCCTTTCACTGAGAGGGAGGTGCAGAGAAGCTGATATTTTTGAGCTTTGAAAGTGTTTGTTCGTTCCCAAGACTGTTTATTCATCACTGGCAATCTGATTTTAAATAATACAATTTCAGTGTCTTCATCTGGTCCCTAGCAGGTCTTTAAATTAAGCCTGACAACAGACTTCACATTAAGCCAGCCTGGCCTGCAGAATCAGCCCCGGGAAGAGGAAGAAAGGAGTGTACATTGCTTCTTGATAACCTCCTGGCTGACAACACCATTAGGTCTGCTGGAATGAGTCTGGACAAAGTCAGATTTGAAATCAATTCACCAAAATATAAACTACTTGTGAGACTCCTATTCTCAAGTATAGCCTTTTCCAAAATAAGCCTCCCTCACTTAGTCACCTGAGGTAGTGAGGTGACTAAGGTAGGCATTAAGCAGAGTTATTGACTTACCTCTCTGACTAAGGATACCCTCAGGCCTAAATATCTCGGGGGTCTCAAATGCAAAAATGCAGTCGCTTTCATGAATGGTGTCCAGGTCATCAGTATCACAAAAGGAACGATGAAACCCATCGTAGTACATCTCCGTCAGCACAATCTAGAGTCAGCAGAAGCAAACCAGAACCCATTAAACCACCCGTGCCTGGTTCAGCTGAGCTGCCCCATCTCTCGACTGGGATTTTCCTGCTCTAGGATGGCATTCCTCAAAACATCCCAGCATCGGCCAGGAGCGAGAAACTCAGTTCCTTGGAAAGGACTGCCATAATGGAGAACCTCGGATAAAAGCAGCACATGGAAAGGTTTTTGTGGGATCCGACAGCTTTCCTGAAGCTCTTCCTAGAGAGGAAATCCCCACAGGTGCCCAATGGTTCCCTCACTGCCAGTGCGCATGAATCACCGTGTGATCAGGCAGGTTTGCACACTCCACCGATGGCCATCCCAACGTCACTAGGTTTCAAAAAGCCAATGCACAGGGAAAAGCATGATCCAGGTTACTGCTACCCTGCTTCCCATTCAACCATGGGTGGCAAATTTCAATTCTTATATATCCAACATGGGATGAAAGCCTCCACACTCCCTCCCGCTGAAGGCAGGGCACATGGATGACAAGACCAGCCCATTACCTGCTCCGTGGGTATCTTGGTCTCTGAGGAGACAGCCTCCCGCAGCCTGGCCACTGTTCCAGAGATAGGCACCGCCACCCCGATCCGCATGCAGTGAGAGCACTTCCCCTGGTACACCACGGTGACGTAGAGTGGCCTGCGGAGAGCACGGGAAGCACTGCTGAGGCTGGGCTGAGCACTTCTTGGCAGTACTTTGAACAGAGTCAGCCCAACCTGGGTGCATCCAGGCTGCCCATAAGCTACAGGGCCCTCCTGGCAGTCCAGATCCGCCTCACACTGGAGTTAGGCTCAGCTGCAGCCAGGCAAGTATGTTTGATTTCCAAAGACTCCTTTTCTTACTATGTGGACTGGTGTTAGTTGCTCCCATAAGCAGATCTTCTCCAAAAAGCCCCATAAAGTTAAAAATAAATCTCTCTGTGACGAGGCAATCATAATTTTCCAACAAGGATCCTGTAATGCAGTTTAAGACAGTCTGAGGCAGCACCTTAAAGCACTCAGAGCTGGGAACAGCTGCTCCAGGTTGCCTCTCAACACTCAATCCTGACTCCACCAGCAGCCAGTACTACCACCTCGGGAAGGGAAGAGTGGGGCAGCTAGCCTACCAGGGACCCTTCCCTGGAAAGCCCACTCAGCCTCCATTCAGTGGTGGAGCAGGGACTTCTGAACCAAATGTGACCATATTTAATCACAGAATCATTACAGAATCACAGAACCATTAAGGTTGGAAAAGACCTTTAAGATAATCAAGTCCAACCATCAACCCAACACCACCATGCCCACTAACCCATGCCCTGAAGTGCCACAGCCACTTCCAGTGACGGTGACTCCACCACCTCCCTGGGCAGCCTGTTCCAATGTTTGACCATTCTCTCAGTAAGGAAATTTTTCCTGATATCTAGTCTAAGTGTCCCCTGGAGCAACTTGAGACCATTTCCTCTTGTTCTGTCGCTAGTTACTTGTGAGAAGAGACCAAACTTGGGAGAAGAGATCAGGACCAATACATCCTTTCACTATTTTGTTGCATTGCTTCTTGAACCCATACACGTTTTCCAAATCCAAAACATCAGGTGAAGGAGTCGCTTATCTATATAATGGGTAGTTTTGCTGTGCATTTCTATCTTCACTCTGAACTTTTTATCTGTTTAGGTCCCCCCCCACCTCGAAGCTTTTTTCTTTAATGGCAACAGCTGTATTTCAAAAAAGCAAAACATTTTGCAGGAAAGCTTTTAAATTCCCTTTTGAAACTGGAGTCATCAGTGAGACTGTTCTGAAGAAAGTAAAAAAAAAAAAGAAGTGTTTCATCCATTTCCCCTTTTTAATATTAAAATGCTATAAATTAAGTCAAAAGCAAAATATTTTGGTTACCTGAATCAAGGATTTTTTTTCTCCCAAAAATTAATTCTGTAAGAATTAACTCTGTAAGAGTGGGTGCAGAGGGCCATTCTGAAACATGTAAAAGGCTCAGTTTTCCAATTTACCTGCAAAGCAAAACTTTAAGCCCCATATGGTCCTATCTATCTTTTTTAAAGACTTACCAGAGAGATTTTGCTGACATCTCTCCTCCTTCTGCATCAAATTAAACAACACTATATGCATGGGAAACAGCCAACGTTAAGTTCAAGAGAGTTACATACCGTGTATGAGGCAAAGGAATCGGCAGAGAGATGCAGAGAAAAGGGTCAAAGGTGTTACTTTGCTTCTGGCAATGAGGGCACGTCAGAGAGGACCTAGTACAAATATCAAAAATAGGACAGAGTTATACCTCATGTTATCAGGAATGGATAAATCATCAAATCACAAATAACAGCCTTTGCATGTCAACCTGGCTGCCCCTTTCTACTCTTCTTTCTCCATACAGAGCAGCTCTGCACAGAGGCTGTATAGACACAATTGCTGTAAAAGATGTGCTACTGATTCCTAGATCCTTTCAAAGGAATTAGTCTCAAAGTTCATTACGGGGTATGCCAGGAAAAGACTTCACTCCACTCACTGAATTTTGGCTTTTAATAAACATCACTGCAAATTAACAGTTCAGCAACATTAGCTCCAACATGGAAGACCTGGAGGGGTTTTCTCTTTGCAGAGAGGAAGTGGCAGGAAAGAGATGGCGACAGTCAGCACTGTAGATACACAGATCTCTTACTCAGAAAGGAAAAACTCCAGACAATACATTTCTCACATTCAGAATTAACCTGCACCTTACACTGGCTTTGTGTTTTATATCACACTTAAGGCTTCTCCTTTGCAAAGAAAGCCTTGGCAAGTATTGGGGTGAAAGCCCACCAATTAAAATTCTTATAGCAGTACAGATACAAGCCATCAAGGAGCACTGGAAATTAGGCTGTTTTCTTGTGTTAGTTCTGAAATTAGAGAGCTCACTTCCCAGGAAGTATGGGAAATTCGTTGGAAAGCCCTGAAGGGACAGTGAAAGATTCAGCTCAGAATTTCCAAGTGCCAGATAACAGGAATAAGACTCTGCAAGACACCTGGGATCCGTAACTCTCCAGCAGCCTCCAGGCACCTCCAGATCTTGCCACAGGCTCTTTCCTCTGAACAGTCAGGGTAAGCCTCACAGCACTGAGTTGTCCTGAGTCTTTGCTCCACTGAGCACTGACTTGCTTTCAGGATGCATCAGGGCAGAGGTGGTGAAGAGGTGGTACATACTGTAGATTTTCACAGAATATACCAAATTTGAAGTAGTGAAATTCTCTCTCTCCTCTGGAGCAAGATCTTAGTTCAGATTTCATTCAGCAGG